CCAACCCATGTGTCAAGATGCTTGATTTCAGTGTTGTGCTTGATGATATAAATAAATTATCGGTTCTGCTTCATATGATTGCAAAACTTTAGTGGATCTCAGTCTACGGACCCTAAATTTATGCCATCGCATAATAAATGATGCCGAGAAAACGGTGGCCATAATATCTTACAAATCAATTTTGAAAATAATTCTTAGCTTTCTTAATAACTACATTAACTGCCACTCATTTGTGCCGGTGAGCTGATTAAACTATTTATAAACAATTGAAAATTAGGGTGGTTTATCGGGATCATTTTTAACTCCTTGAATCCGCAATCTTACAATTAAACTATAATAATTGATTGTATTATTTTAAAAGCAGTTAATAACTTAAAAATTATTGTTATAAAATAATACATTTAATTTATAAACAAAGGTGCTATAAGACGGCTTGAAACTCTGAATGCCTATAATTGTGTGTGATTAGCAATTAATTAATGATAGTTATAATGACAATTGCAGATTTGAAGCCTTTAATTAATTTACTAAACATTGATTATAAGCCTTTAATTAATAACATGTTGACATACGCCGATCCCGCCAACGGCTTTAGAATTTTATAAAAGCAAGTGGGATGCAGCATGTGCTCTGTATTTTTATAATATAAGCAAACTTTTAGTATATTTATTGAAGTATTTTCAGATAATTTCTAATACCTAAACTTTAATTTTTATGTAGATACCACCTTACTGTTTGAAAAGATGTATTTTTCACTTTTTGAAAGTTAAAATAATGGTATTTTGATGTAATATAAAAGATCTGGGTGTATTTTGACGTAGGTGTGATATATGTCAAGTATATAGACATTGGGTGGTATTTATGTAAATGTCCTTTTTTTTTTTTTTTTTTTTTTTTTTTTGTATTATGATCATGTGTCAATGTATATATATTTTTTTCCTTTCAAGATTCCCCTGCTAAGAGAACAATTGGGTCACATGATGTTGCAGTGACAGTTACAATAGTTACGAACAGCAACTTTATTTATTTATTTTTAAAAGATGCTTGACCAAGGAACGGCCAACCACCCCTTGCTCTCAACCCGTTGGACCCATGCATCTAATCACTCGCATGTCACCCCATATAACATCAGTCGTTGGACCCCAGATCATATGGGACTTACAACTAACGAAGCAGATACCTACTAACTGATTTAAGAATGCGGTGCGACTGACAAGTTTATATAAATTAAGGTTTGTTTGGAGTGATTTAACTTTAAAAAAAAAAAAAATTGGTAAAAATATGATGAAGAAAAATAATTTTTTAGAAAGATTTTGTGTTAATTATAATAATTCTTTTTTCAAAAATTAGACTGCAATTTTCTTACAAGCCATCACATTTAATTGGGCAGGTTATTCCCTAAATTTTAAATTTTATATACGTGCCACTTTAACTATGCATGTAATATGCAAAGCTTAGATGTTAGATATGCAAATAGATAGAAATTGGGTGGTATGTATGTAAATACCCCATTTTTTATCCAAAATAAAAATAATGATAAATTTCTTTCTTTTTTAGGTACACTTCAAAGGCAACCAACCATAATGCAAGGCGTAGTTGATTGTTAACTGGGTACTCTCACATGCACCTCTGCTCATAATCACCTGCCATGTTCTCCCAAGTCCTAAGCAGCCAAATTAAATAACTATATATATATATATATAATATATTGAAATAAATAAATATCAAATAAGCATGATTCGCGTGTCCATTTTCTTTAATTAAATAAAATAAATATCCAAGCTATTTTCAGGCTTTCCAAAGTTCGTTATCATAATTATGATAAATTAAAATATTTAAAAATTACAATGATGTGGTTTTTATGTGAAATTAAAGAATTGGGTTGTATTGATATAAAAAAAGAAAGTTTTAGGTGTTATATATATATATATATAAATACAAAGGAATTTGGTGGTATGTATGTAAAGGTCTCTTGATTCTATTATTTTCAATTGTAAATTTAAAATAATTTTATAATTGGTACATTTACATACATAGAACATAATTCTTATATACTTATAATTTTATATATGTAACCTCTAAACGTTTAACCTATACATTCATATCTATCAAATCATTGACATCTCATAAAATATATCAATGATTTGAATTATATATATATATATATATGTCCTTGCAACTACCTAAAATCCGGTCCCAAAAAAAATTAATATAAAGTACACCCTATCAACAAAATATTAAAAATTTAAACACTATAAGATAAAAATAATTAAGGGAGATCATTTTACTTGCACACCACATAATTCCTATGTATTTACATCTACAACTTCTTATTCTTTTCATGCATAGGGTTTAGGAGTTAATTAACTATGTAAATAAATATAAGACTAATGTCATGGTATTTATGTAAAACTCCCATAGAATATAATAAAACAAAAGCTCTCACAGCTACTTTAAATACAGTAAGAGACCTCATGACCAAAAATCTCAAAGCAGCCATTAATTATGGATCAGAACAGCTGCTGCAACAAAACGAGCACTGATCTGATAAAGAAGTGGAAGAAGCTCTCAATTTGTCCAACGAAAGTATTTCTGAAGAGAACCCTCTCCTTCTCCAAAACCTCTTCTTCTTCTTCGAATGGGATTCCGAAGGGATATTTTGCAGTGTGTGTGGGAGAAGAGAAGAAGAGATTTGTGATTCCCACAGAGTATTTGGGCCACAGAGCATTCTCGGTGCTGTTGAGGGAGGCTGAAGAAGAGTTCGGGTTTCAGCAGAGTGTTGAGGATGCCGTGTGAGGTTTCTGTGTTTGAGAGCATTTTGAAGGTGGTGGAGAAGAATAGCAAGGAAGGAGGAGGGTACTTTGTGGACACTGCTGCTTCTTATCTTCCTCCCAACATAATTTACAGGTGAGCTGGAGCTGGACCTCAAAATTGTATCACATCTAATGTTTGGTTGTGCGGATGTTGGCGTGGATGCGTTGTTTGCACAATATACAGACGTCCGGACATAATATTTTCTCAATTTGAAGAGAAAATATTTTATTTTTTTTTATTTGGAAGAGTATTTACTATTTAGTGATAATTATGAATTATCTAATATGTTAGCTATACTTTTTTCTTATATTTTTAGTGAGGTTTTTTTTTTTTAAACTGAATATAGCTTTTAAGATATATTATGCAAACGGAAAAAAATAATGAATTCAGACTGAAGTCATGTAAAACAGTTTGCACCTTTCAATGAATGTAACTATAGTTTTATAAACTCTAATATTTGATTGAAAATAGTATTTTAAGTTGCATTGATATAACAAGATAAAAAAAACTATTTAGTATTAATGTTTTTTTAAATAAATATTGGAGAATAAATTCAAAGTTTATTATTATTGTTGGAACATATATTGTCCCTAAATGAATACACCTTTAAGAACTTAGATTGAGAGAGAGAGAGAGAGAGAGAGAGAGAGAGAGAGAGATCATCTTAACCCCATGGATTCTTTTATATTAAAGAGATCATCCCCATATATATATATATATATATAATTGATGCTTCTTTTTTCAATATTGAAAAGGGTCTCAACATGCTGCCAATAACCCATAAACAAATTGAAGAACTCAATAATCAACTAGGATCATTTATACAATCGTCTATACAAGAGCCAATGATCAAGCTACAAACTCATCTCTAGAATCACCATATAGAAGAATATAATCTCTACTAGAAATTTGAGTAACTTGACAAACATGGAGCTAGAATGCTTTGAAGAAGCCTCAAAGCAAGAGGTTTGATCGAGAAAAATTAGATACCGGAGCTAGTAGACTCTCCACAAGAAAAAAAGATAATTGAATTAAAGTGGGTCTACAACATAAAGCTTAATCTGGATAAATCATTTCAAAAATATAAAGCAAGGCAAGTTAGGTGTAGAGACAATCATTGGGCTTGATTATTGGATGACATAAAGAGCACCTCAAGCTATGCATTCACACATGGCCGGGAATATTTTCTTGAGCATAAAAAAATAAGCAAAAATTGCACAATCATCAGTTGAAGTTGAATATAAGCCAAGTCATATGGCTAAAAATCTTTTGTACAACAAATTAGCTATATAAATAATAAAAGATTATGTTAAAAGCAAGTATATAATCTATTCAAAATAAATACTATGGGAATCTTAGTCAAAATTACTTTGATTTCTGTGCTAATTGATCCGTATTAAGTGGAATTAAAGTGCTTGCAAATTAGGTGGTGTCCATTTAGCAGACATTCGTAAATCTAAGTTAACTAAATATAGGGAAATTACATCATTAACCCAATTTCCTCAAATATTAATAGAGCAAGAAAGTATTTCATGAATACTTAAATAATAAGTGACTTATTTATTTATTTATTTATATTTGGCTTATTTATTAATTCAATGACTTAGATCAAAATAAAAAATAGATTTAATTTTCTACTATTTTTTAATAGCCGTAAATAAGAGCATGAAGATATAGTCTTTTCTTCATAAAATTGCGATTTTTATTAAATTCTATGGCAATTTTTATTCATTTTTTAACTAAAAATTATTTAATTTAGTCTTGGAGTTAATACTTTTTATTTTTTCAAGAGACTATTTAGATTAAATATTCATTGTTTCATCTTATTTAGCAAATTCCCATGACAACAGACTATTTAGGCCATGTTCACTGAATTTGATGCATGGAAAGCAATTGTTTGTTCCATGGCAATGATTTCTTTGAAAGCAGTCATGGCAGCAAACTGTACTCCTCACAAAACATTATTAACATGCATTTCAGCTTCAAAATAATAATATTTAAGTATAAATACTATATTTATCTACATTTCAAATAGAATTTTCTTGACCGGTTTGATTTAATTTGCATGCATGGCCACCTTTACATCATTACACTTTTTTTTTTTTTTAATTTAAACTCTTACAACTCTTACATCATTTCATTTCATTGATCATATTACATTAAAAAAATAAAATTACAATCACACAACAGAATTACAAAAATGATATAAAATATTACAAAAAAAAGAAAAAAAATCATGAACAATGCCGCTTTAATGCTTAAACTTATTAGTGCACCGTTCTCTTAAATAGGCATAAAATGAAGCCAGAGCACTCAATTGTCAAAATTTGCAATATTCTGGTTTTATTTTAACCTGCAGCAGGCATAAAAGAGCAGCTTGGGGTTAGTGGCAAACATTTTCTTTCATATATATATATATATATATAGCAGATGACCATTTTCGTGAAAATGCTAGAAAGTTATCAACAACGGTGAAGCATATTTTGTTTGAAATGTAAACGTGTTGAGCCGAGCTCGAATCATGCCTAACTCGAGCTCAGCTCACAAAGATAACATTCGGTTTACATGCTTGCTTGCTTGCTTGAGCTGACATTCAATTCCTGTGGGAGCTCAATGGAGAAGACATCAATGGATGGAGAAGGGAAAGTGCCACAACAGCTCGCCATAGAAGGCATCAACATGACCAATGGTTGGCTAGTAGAGCTGGCTCCTGAGCCAAAGAGCCAACTTTAGATAAGTTTAACTTGAGCTCTTTTAATAAACGAGCTTGAGTTTCAGCTCGAGCTTGATAAACTCGAGTTGAACCGACTCAGCTCACTTACACCTCTCATCGGTAAGCACGAGTGAATTTCAACATCCTTAAGGAAGTCGTTATTAGAAAAGCTTTCTACAGAGAGGATATCAAGAAAGCAGAGTGCAGGATGTGGCCATATAAGTTGAGGGTGAAAGATTTGAGGTTGAGAGGTGACATTAGTGTGATAGGCAATGAAGGTGAGGTTGACGATGATGCACGCAAAGTTGGCGAGGGATGGATGCTAAAGATAATCAGTATTATTAGGAGCATATTACTGAACATCGTGGACAAAATAATATTGATACATGACAAAATGTCGGCAAAACAAGAGCGAACAGAGATCAAAGGGGACGCGGAAAGGAACAGAGTTGAAGGTGGGGATGATGACGAGAGTGAAGCATAGTGTAATTATTCTCATTGCCGCTCGAGTTTCAGCTCGCAACCATGAAGAGCATTAATAAAGAAAGGAAGCATCCTATAGTGGCAAGGCGACCACAAAGACAGAAGAAGTATATATATAAAAAAAAAGGAAGCATTCCATAGTATGCAATTGAGTCTTACCCATTTAAGTTAGAATTGAGAATTGCTGAGGAAAGTGGCCATGCATCTGACATTTTGGAATATTTTATCTATTTTTTGCCAAACTAAGCTTTGAACATTCAAGAGCTTCATTGCCTTTTCCTGCATTGCTGAGTGGCGTCTAATTGTTTCCCCATGAATCTGTTTAAACAAATATTGAAGAAAAAAAACATATAAGATTAAAATTTTCTCCAACAATAAGGCAAATATTAACTACATTATTTAGACCTGAACTTTTAGAATGAATGTAATCTCTATCCAGATGTTTTACAATCCGCAAAAGATGGAACAGAGTGCAAATGGAACAAACTCCCAATGACATTATTGAGATACATTACAAATTCTAAGCAAGAAATAATTGGTAACAAAATTAGGAAATTGATTCAGTTTTTGGCACTGTAATCAAATAAACTGCTGCGTTACAATGTGATTCTGCACTAAGAATAAAAGGCTTAGAAAGGCCCATAAGGGATTTCATGCCAATAAAGTCTTTCATTTGTTTTATGTTCCAATGGACTGCCACACGCTTGTGAATATTAAGGGGGGAAGGTGATTAGCTTGTTGAAATGCATCAAGGCTTATAACTACTCAAGAAAAATCTCTCTAAACACACAAATGATCATACCTCCAATTTTACCTAAAAATTTCATGTCTATTAAGCCTGTATCTATCCAAAAGCAAGACGTGTTATGGCATTGTTGCCCGGACCATCATAGTTTCAGTTATGTTACAAAGTTGTATCTTCGTTTGTTTACAATAAACACTAGTAATAATCAATATGAGATTTGTCAACTTTTCAAACACACTAGAAATAGTTATCTCATAACCCACTATAAACCCTCACACATTTTTTCCATCATCCACAGTGATATTTGAAGACCTTCCAAGGTGAAAACCTTAAGTGGGGCTAGATGGTTTCTCATTTATTGACGATCGTAATAGAATTAATAGGGTATTCCTAATGAAGGAGAAATCTAAAAAAAGCTCAATCTTCCAAACCTTTCATAACACAATTCAAACTCAATTCAAATGCAAAACTCAGATTCTCAAAACTGATAATGCAATCAATTTCATCTTTTGGTATTATGTATCAAAAAATGAAATCATTAATGTATTGATGCTCCAGAACGAAATGAATAGCTTAGAGAAAGAACAGACATCTCCTTGAGGTATCCCACTAAATTAATAATCAAGTTACAAAATATTTTTTAGGGAAAACAATTCATACTGCAACATACTATATCAATTGAATGTCTAGTTTGGTACTTAACTTCTTCATATTTTGATGGATACCTATCCTCACATCAAAGCTTTCTCTTCTACTATACAACTTAAAATCTTTGGGTTGTATCATTTGTTCACATCGATTCCCAAAATCGAATAAAATTTGACCCAAGATCTATCAAGTGTATTTTTCTTGGGTGTGCCACCAACAAAAATGGGTATAAGTGCTACTCTAGTTACAAAAAAATACTATTAACTCCATAAATGTCACTTTTTTTAAAATCAATCATACTACCCGAATATGATGTATAGGTGGAGAGTGCAAATGAATATCAATTTTGGAATGCACTTGATGACACCTACATGACTTGACCACCTACTCCACCTAGCCCTCCTATTCTAGTTGAAGATGCCCAACCAACCAATCAACCCAACCAAAATTCTAGAACAAAGAACTTTGTGTGTACACAAAGTGAAATAAAAACCTTAAGTAACTGTAAGACAATTTGTAAGGAGAGAGAACTGCTTAAACCAAAACTTGACTCCACATTCATCTGAGAATCCAGGTAAGGAGGAATCCAGTACTCATGAGTTATCCTCGTCCTCTTCTGAGGTTGGTGATAAGAAAAGGTACATTAAATTTCCAACTTAGGAGTATATAGCCTCTAAGAAGCTATCATCATCCTACAAAGCTTTTGTTTCTAACTTTGTTAGTATGCAGATTTTTAAATTCATTAATGAAGCTCTTTAAGCTTTAGAATGAAAAAAAGCAGTCGAAGAAAAGATTTGAGCACAAAAGCTTAATGGTACATGGATTCTTACTAAACTCCCCCAGGATAAGAAGTTAGTTGGGTGGTTTAGGGTTTAGGATTTAGGGTTTAGGGTTAAATACCAAATTGATAGGAGTATTGAGATATTCAAAGTTAGACTTCCTGCAAAAGGGTTCCCTCAAGCATATGAGATTGACTATCAATACACCATAGCACCAGTTACCAAATTTAACACTATCAAAGTTCTCCTTTCAGTAGTAGTTAGAAGGAATGGGGATTGCATCGGCTTGATATAAAAAATATACAAAAAATTAGTCAAGTGACCATTTGACATCCCCGAATGGAGGATTGCTTGGATTTAATTAAATAGCATAGCTTATGAAACTAAAAGCCCGTTTGGGGCAACTTAAAACAACAGGTGATATTTTGAAAACGCCTTCCTACTATTTGGTTAACACGTTTAAACCGCGTTTTGGAAATCGCTGTTTTTATTTTGTGAATAACGTCGCCCGCGGAATCATCCCCGCGGGCCGCATTCCCTTGTCGCGTTTTCTCCCAAATTACCATGCTGCCTTTGAATCGCGATCGAACCCTCTGCCCTTGCCCCTTCTAGATTCGCCATTCCTTCCTCCGTTCGCGATCGAGCTCGCAGAGCCGCTCCCTGCTTCGTCGACACTTCTCTTCTAGATAAGGGCGAGTTTCTTCGACACTACTTCTTCTACTCAGACCGATCAAGCTCCGCCATGGCTTGCGCTGAGTAAAAAAGTTGGACCTTTTTTCTCTAGGAGGCAACCAAATCGCCCTTTCTCTCTTCCCAATCTCTGCTTCTGAGAAGCATGACCACTGTCGCCGCTCCTTCTCACAAGGTTATTTCAACCTCCTCATCTTCTTCTTACTCCTTAGCATCCCTACCTCAATCCACCACTTTTTTCTCTATCGTTGGATATCTTTTTAAGGAATTCAGGTTCAATCGCAGCAGACCCTGAGCAAAATGGCCTGCAACCGGCTACATAAGGAGCTTGTGGAATAGCAAGTTAATCCCCTGGTCAGCTTCAGGTCAGCTGGGCTCCTCCCTTCTAGACAAATTTCTAGCTAAAATTTTAATGCAGTTAATTTTAGGCTAATTGGATTATGGGTAGGAAGTTATAAATCTCTTATATGATCCTATCACGATCGGTAGAAAATTTAGAGTTGAGGCTTTGTAAGAATTGACTTGCTTGATTTTGTGAGGGGCTTAAGTGGTTAAAAAGTGTGAGAAGACGGAGGAGATATCACAAAACAAAACTAAAGAAGGGGATTTTGAGCTTTGTATATTAATCCAAATGCTTATAGCACAACAACACTTTGTATCATAAAAGTTTTGCAAGATATTAGAAGTTATTTTTAATTGCAGCAATGGGACATAAATAACGAATGAAGCATTGTAGGGAAGGAAGGAAACTTAATAGGAAAAACAACAAAATTCATTCAATATGACATTTCCTTCAGATATTCTAACCCATTTTCTTTATTTAAATTTTTTTTTTGACAAGTATTACGTTTTAACTTCTTAAATTATCAAGGTTTCTTTTGCTTGCTTTCATTCTTATTATTATCATTTGCTCCTTCGGTCACATCTTCTCACGTTTTTTGTGCTAACTTGATTTATTTCCTGTGAAACTGATTTCTTCTTATTAACTTGCATTCTGCATGTGAAGGCTCCCCATTTTATCTAAGGCTTGCCTCTACAGTTGGCCAAGCGGTAATTTAATTATTGGAAGATTTACATATTTGCCACAATTTCACTTGAGAGCATCATCCATAAATCTTAGGATAAAAGTAAAATTGTAGCTTACCTGATCGAAAATATTTTTAAGCTTTTGACAGAATGAAGCACGACAAATTTCAAATAAAATGCATTTTCAATTTTTGAGCTGAAGCTTGATATGATCAACTTATTGCAAGAACGGGGTGAAACTTATATGTCACTTATTTCTCAAGTAGTCTAAAGGTAGAACGAGAAATGGGAAGGCTGAAATTCATAGCTGAGGACTCATAAATGTAAGGGTACACAGTATGGTTGGTGTGTATCATACTAAAACTTGCCTAAGAGGTATCATTTGATATACGTTGATGGTCATCGCAAGGTATGATATATGTTTTTTTGCATATATTGTTCAACTGATGTTCATGGTATTTCAGTGCTGAATAATTTTTTCTAAAGAATAAAATAGGAAGTTCTGCATACATACCACTAAACTTCAATTTTTACATACAAGTCCTTTTTTTTGTACTGTTATGAAATGGTTTTTTGGTTCCAAACTATCAAATGTGTAGTCATTACAGTTCTGTTGCAAATAACACAACTGCGCAGTGATAGAATTGTCATTTATCCAGAATAAGCTGCAAATCAGTTGTTTTCCAAAAGCACAAACCAAACAACCAATCAACTTATCCAGATCAGGGCAGAATGGTCATTTATCCAGAAACAGTTGCAAATCATCTGTTTTTCAAACACACAAACCAAACAGTCAGCCAGCTTATCAGGATAAACTGCTGATCAACAACTTATCAGGATAAATTGCTCATCTGGATAAGCTGCAGCTGCCCCAAACAGACCCTAAGTTCCAGGTTGTTGATTCCATTGGGAATTGGTTCAATAAGCTGCAACTTCATCCTAGGGAGCAGTTTTTTTTTTTTGGTGGAGACTTATTCGAGATGTTCCCACCCGTATGTTGTTTGCGGATAACACCCACTACCCGTAAGCATTTGTTGAGCCAGAAAATAATACACGTTTTATTACTAATTGTCTTTTTTTCAAGGTAAAGGAAATGTTGAAAAGCAGAAGTATCTGAATTCCAGATTTCAACAATTTCGATGAAGACATTGATAAGCTAAGTAAGACACTGAAACGTGGGATTCCAAAAGTTCGATGTTTCTGCTATATTGTTCACTAAGGTTGGAAGGCTTGTAATGCTAAGGTTTACAGCTGAGCATATGGCACACCGACAATTATTGCACCTACCATTTTAGGACCTCTTACAAAAACACCACTTCTTAAAAGTTAACTCTCAACTCATGCAAATACATAGTTCCGAAAGGAAAACAAAATACACGCATCCAAGCTCATTAAAGTTCTATTGTTTTATTGGAGAGGAGGGTTATAAATGATACACTTTTTAGCCCATTAAAAACTAGAAAGTAAATCATACCTTAAGAAACAACCTGATGACGGCTTGAATAAATTCAAAGTTATTCTTGTAGGAAAGCTCATGAATGAAATAATCCAATAACAATCCAATTGACTCCAATTCTGGTTTTCGATCTAAGCTTTTATCATCATCTTCAATTATTTGAAGAACACGAAGCTCCATATCGAGGGTTGATGGTGGTAAACCCTTAATATATTCTGTGAAAGCTGAAACTGCAACAGAGTGAATGAATCCAAACAAGTTCAGCAAACTTACCAAAAGATGGAGAGATTGTGAATCACTATGGCAATAGTGAACTAATAAAACTAGAAAGGGAATTTACATATTTATCCCTCAATTCTTATGTATTTACATATCCAACACCTAAAATTTGCTTCTTTACATTTCTACCTGCCAAATCATTGATGGCATATAAAAAATATCACTGTTTTAACTTTAAAAAAGTGAAATATATTATTCATGCATAAGTAAGGTAGCATATATGTAAAGATTGAAATTTAGATGTTAGATAGGTTAATGCATAGGAATTGAGTGGCCTGTATGTAAATCTTATAATAAACAAGAAGGATGTTTATAGAATTTATAATAAGTCTTCGTGATAAAAGAAAGGAAAAGACATAGATGTAATGAAAAACAAATACAATAATATACTTCGTCACAATGTCTTTATTTATGGTAATCATAACTTGCAGGAAGATGCCAGACATTTGTAACATCAAAATCTACATTACTTAAAACAAACACTTCTTTGAAAGGCCAATGACAAATATGTCAAATTAAATAAATGTCTTCCTTGAAAAAATGCATCTATAAAGAAATTTAAAAACATCGAAAGGCTTATAGAGTTGAAAAAAAAAACCCTATGGACAAAAAAAAAATGCCACAAAAAGGTTACGGGCATTTACATAGCACGCAATGCTTACATATTTACATACCTCACACATAAACTTTCATATTTAGACACAACGCTCAAATCTTTAATATCACATCAATAATAGCACTATAATCAACGTTTAAAAATGAAATACACATTTTCATGCATAGTTTAAAGCAAAAAAGTGCATGCATGTAAATATGAAAGTTTAGATGTGAGATATGTAAATACATAAGAATTGTGTGCTATGTATGTGAATTTCCCAAAAAACTACCAAGATGGCACAAACAACATCCTCATTCTCAAACTTTAGAGAAGTAAAAAAATTAATGAACTGCCTATTTGCAATTTCAAATATGCACGTGCAACTGAAAAAGATTTCAAGAAGATTTAATATCACCTAAAACCTTGGGTTAAAAATAATGAAATCCATGTTTTTCCCTTCAGGGAAGTGAAATTGCTCCCAAAATGTTGAATACCACATAATGCAAGTAAAGATGTGACAATGCAAGGCATTTATAAAGAAAAGAAAACTATAAATACACTTTTAAAAAAATATTGATATGCTTACAATCTTTGGTATCTGCACAAGATTGCAATAACAGACAAAAAGGAGAAGATAGATCCAATTTTCTGATTTTTCTAGTTGGTTCTTCGACTTGAGTATCTTTTGCATCACCAATTTCAACTCCATTAGGCTGAAACAATATTTCTCCCGAAAGGGATGGTACAGACGGCAAGAAAAAGGGTGCATTTTCTGGCTTCTTTGGACGCTCGATTGGCTTGTTGCGGACCTGAAAGTTACTAAGAATTAAGTAGAAAAACAAAAATATTGTAAAAAAAACATGAAAGACCAAAACTTTGAGTGCATATAATTTCTAACAAATACGATCAAATGAAAACTAAGTCACAAAGTTACACATCGAGTAAAGTGTCAATATTGTCCCCTAACTATTTAGATGGGATCATTTTAGTCTCATAGTTCATAAAAGTGCTAGATTAGCCTCCAAACTGTTTTAAAAGAGGTTAAAACAGTCTACACGAGGAACTAATTCAGCAAATTAAAAGAGTATGTGGACTAATTGACACTTCTATAAACAATCAGAGTTATAACCCCTGCAAAAAGTCAATACTATTTTGACAGTTTTCTCGTTTCTTATTTAAAAAACACACCCAGAAATAAAATAAGTTACAAACCTTTATAATATCTAAATTAGTAAGACTTTGCCACTGGCTCTTTGGGAGCAAAGAAAGAGTTACAAGATCTGGTATTTGGTGATCAAAATGTGGTCCATAAAAATCTTTAATTATGTGATTTTGATTTCCAAAGTCACTATGGATTACTTCTCCTTTATCATCTCCTCCATCTTCATATCTTTGTTTTGAAGAAACAGATGGCATCTGAACATTTCTAACTTGTTTCCCACTTGCATAGGAATCAACATCCAACGATCCAGAGAACAATACCTGATTAACCCTACATAAAAGAGCAATTAAAATCTCTTCTAAATGAAAAGGCTTGAACAACTATATGATCATTCATGTAAGACTCGTTATTCAGAAAATTGAAAAAAACTTGAACAAAAATTATAAAAACACGACATCAAAATGAAAAAACATGAACATTAATTAAAAGTTTATGCGTGTTCATGAACATATTTGTTTGTTACTGAACAGATAGTTCTCTTATAAATAGATAAAATAGTTATTTAATGATAACTTAATTGCCTGTTTGATTACACCTATCATTTTCCTCGTCTCACAAACTTCAAAATATGTGAATATTGCTAGTGGTATAAAATTGAAAATTTGTCTCAAACTATAAATGTATAATTAAAAGCTAAACTAATTTTTTATTAGCATTCAGGATTTGCAAAAAATTAGAAATAATGTAAAGTAAATATGTGAATTGATGAAAATTTATGATGCATTCAGGGTAGTAATCTGGTTACATAATTAAATCATTAACAACTTATATACAGTTAGTTAGGCTTGATTATGGCTCATACTCAATAAGAAACTAGTCAATAGGATTGAGCAAGATTTTAGAACGAGTCATATTCAAGCTTAACTCTAACTAATATAAAAAATAAGAGGCATTTACATACATAACATCCAGTTCCTATGTATTTACATATTTAACACCTAAACTTCACCTTTTACAAGTATACCACCCAAATCTTTCATATCACACCAAAAATACTGCCATTTGAAATTTTAAAAGTGAAATACACCTTTTCATGAACAGGTAGAGTGGCCTGAATGTAAAATCGAAGCTTAGGTGATGGATATTTAAATACATAAGAATGAGTGGTTAAATCTTCCAAAAATAAAATAGTGAGCTTGAAAAAAATAGTCCTTAGCCTGATTCAGCACTTTTACAACCAAAAGTTTTGCCCTCATTACAAACTAACTAAAAATGATATGTTATTGTCACTAACTATTGTCTATTGTCACTAAACTAATTTAACAAAGCAAACAAATGAAAAAAAAATAAATGGCATTTACATACACACCACACAAATTTTATGAATATACATATCTAACATATAAACAATCATATTTACATGCATACCACTAAAATCTTTAACACAACATCAAAAATGCCACCTCGTTATCTTTTGAAAAGTGAAATACACATCTTCATGCATAAATTTATGACACCAATGTGTTATAAGTGTAAATATCAAACTTTGGGTGTAAATACATAAATGTGTGGTGTGTATGTAAATTTCCCTAAAAATAATTACCAAAGGTAAACGCCATTTTGATCAACATGAGAAGTTGCCAACATGTCCATAGAAGGAGACAGAGAAATTGCTGTTATAGATACATCTACAGACAGAGCATCAATCTGTCTAGCCAAGATGACATCCCAAATTCTAAGAGTTCCATCCATGCTAGAGGATAAAAGCCATTTTCCGTCATCACTGAAACACAAGTCAGTAATGCGGTCTGTGTGTCCTTCGAACTCGCGAACCATTAGAAGCGACATAACATCAAACACACGTAGAACCATGTCATCCGCTACAGTTGCTAGAAGACCTGCAAAATTGTAAGGACGAATTTAACAAAGGACTAAAACGCCAAAATAGTCTCCCTACTGTTTATATAGTCCTTTTAGTCCTAGAGTTTATAGAAGTGTCAAAGTAGTCCACAAACTTTAAATTGGGGATTAAATAGACCTCTGTGGGGATTTTTTGACTCATATTAAAAGAGGGACAGGACTAAATTGGTATATTTATAAAATCTGGGACTAAAATGAACTCGTGCAAACAGTCTAAAGGACTATTTTGATAATTTTCTGTTAAAAAAAAAAAATTTTTCCAATAGGGATCTATCTGGTTATCATGCTTGACTAGAAATGAAGTAATCATGCTCAATTATATTTCCCGACTAGAGTTTATGGGAAGCACTTCTATTTTTCAAACTTCTTTAAGAGAGTTACTCGAATCCATGACATTCTTATAACAATCAGCATAAGAGTGATAAAAAAGAACTGGAAGATTGAAACACAAACGAAGGTTTCGGAGTGCATGTAAATAACATGCCCAAAAGTGCGGAGGTTGATGCATTACCGTTTGTTCTTTGGTACACCATCTTTGTAACAGATCGACCAACCTCCCACCTCGATTTTACTTTACACCCTTTGAAATCCCATACCTACATGTTTAGTAATAGCATACAATGACGATAATTAGGATAAAAATTCATAATGAATATAGTAATTGCACATTAATTCAGTTAAAACAAAGGCATACCTGCACTTAGAAAGCATTTAAAACAAGGGGCATTTACGTATGTACCACCCAATTCTTATGTAATGAAATATCTAACACATAATATTTGCTTTTTACACTTATGCCACCCAAATCTTTCATAACAAATAAAAAATACCACTATTTTAAATTTTCAAAATACCAATAATCAATAGAATAGTGCCCCAGATATAATACTCGAAAAATAATAGGAAATTTTCAAAAAATTGCAGGACATGCCAAGACCAATATCGACAAGCAGCTTTTGTATTTGAAAGGTGTTTAACTTTATTTTGTACATTCAACAATTAGTTCTTGAGACAATATCAACATTCTTTCCTAGGAAATAAATTTAGTGTTCAGAATCAATTCAAATTATTTACTTATATGGAAATTTACATATCTAGCACACAATTCTTATGTATTTACATATATGATGTACCACACCTAAACTTCCAAATTTACATATGTAGGCACTTTGGCATTTTAACCCTATGCATGAAATGTGTATTTCACTTTTAAAAAATGGTAATAGTGCAATTTATGATGTGATAATAAAAATTTGAGTTCTATGTGTGTAAATATGAAAGTTTGGGTGTGAGATAGGAAATACATAAGACTTGTGAGCTATGCATGTAATGCCCATTACTACTGATAAAAAAAAGTGACTTATGGAAAGATAAACACCTTAATGTCGCCACGATAACCTGCACTTATCATTATAGAGTTTGTAGAATCACAGGCAACTCCAACCACTTCCGCATCATGAGCACAGCACTTCGATTCAGAAGTATCCACATAAACTCCTCTGCTGATTCCGGATTGAAGGTTAAATCTTTCAATCCATCCACCCTCAGTTCCCACAACAGCAAAATTACCACAAGCACTTATAGCACAACTCTGTCGACAAAAAAGAAAGATTTTTACAGAATTAGCTCTAACAAAATTTCAAAAAAATCACCCAAAATAAACCCATGTTTTCTCCACTGCTTTTGCAATGCACTCAACTCTTTTATTTAGTTAATTAAGTCATTGCACAACGTAAAATTAATAAATTATCATATGGTTGCCTATATATGAGATAAATGAGCACAGTATGCCCAATTTAAAATTAGGGGCATTTACATACATACCGCCCAATTTAAAATGTATTTACATATCTAACACCTAAATTTCAATTTTTATATTCATACCAACATATTTCATATCACATAAAAAATAACACTATCTTAACTTCTAAAAAGTGAAATACACCATTTCATGCATTGGTAAGGTGGAATGTATGTAAAAATTGAAGTTTAGGTGTTAGATATGTAAATACATAAGAATTCTGTGGTATGTAAGAAAATCTTCCTAAAATTAATCAGGTTGTTTCCAACATCTAAAGAGGGTAGAATACAGTTCTGCCTATTAACTACATGACTATCACATACCTTAATTGGTGTCTGATTCTTTGCAGAAGGTGATAAAATGTGCTCTCCAATTACAAAGTTTTGTAGACGCCATACATATGCCTTTGGGGTATCCATGTGGCAAGTTACAACATTGCACCAGTCACGCTCACGAATCTCAGCTGAGAATGTTTTATAACACAGATAATCAAAGGAGACAATTTACATGATATGATAATTGTTATTATTACATGACAATATTATATGTAAGAACAAATGAAAGATTTACATACATACAATTCAATTACTATGAATTTACATATCAAACACCAAAATTTCAATTTTTACAAACATACCGCCTTACTTAAGCATGAAAATTTGTCTTTTACTTTTTAAAATTTAAAATGGTGGTATTTTTTACGTGATATGAAGGAATTGGGCGGTATAAATGTAAAAAAACAAAGTTTAGTGTTAGGAGTGAATACATAGGAATTGGGTGGTATGTATAGAAGCCCCAAAAAATAAATACTAAGAAGAATCAACTTAGAAAGAAGTGTAGCATTTAATCATCTGCATGGATGTATTGTAGTCCTTATAAAATCAGCAATAGCGAAAAAAATATATTTGTAATTTCACAATGGATCACAATGGGGATCTTTGGTGCACAGTAAAACTTTTTGCAGCAAAAAGAAAACTCATTGAAATGTAATCAATTAGAGTGAACATGAAGGGGACTGCTTGTAAGGTATTTTATGTTTTAACCGTATCTTTTTGCTTCAATGAAATATTTGTCAAGCTTAACTACAAAAATTTCTTTACTTCACACAAACAAAACACAAGAAACGAAACAAGAACAAACTCGATGAATAAAAATTAGATTAGAGAAAAGTGTCAAAATAGTCCCCTGACTCTTTGAAGGAGCTCTTTTAATCCCAAAGTTTAAACTGTCAATTTAGTCCACAAATCTTTTAATATGGGGTGAAATAATCGCCAATAAGAACTATTTTAACAGACAATAAAATAATCAAATTTGTTGCATGACCACCAACTATAATTCAATTTAACTACTAAAAATTATGTCAAAGCCACGTACGAGTTTGGTTGCAAGCTAAACATAGCAATGACATTGAGTTGTTATTTGTTGATAGATGTGTTAGCATAGAAGAAGAGCCAAGTTTAATTGATGGCCGTGTCAAAGCTAGCCTTGGATTAATTGATGAGCTAGTTATCATGAGAGCTCACAAAGGTTAAGTATTTGACAGCTTTTTATCTTTACAATATATTTGACCAAGGATTTAAGCCGTACTGGTGCAGACTGGCCACATCTGTTCTTGAAATTCAAAATAGTTCATTCATATGTTAAATGTAAGATCGATAAGTCCAAGCTTTGGTTGAACCCTACCTCTTTCCAAAGCAATTTGAATAAGTTTCATGCAATTCAAGGGAGTGATTCCACCTTCCATGCAAATTTTGGTTGGCCCTCCTCTTTCTAAGTCAACTTGAGGAAGCTCTTCACAAGTCAAAAGGAGTGGCTCCATTTAGTTTGGAATTAATTGAATGCTTTGTTATTTCTAGTATATTTGAGTCTGAAACTCATTTTTGATGGGATTACACTGAATTTTCAATCTATAGATGTGGCTATTATAATTCATCGATTATTATTCCCTAGAAAAATTTAGAGATCACTCATTGCAGTGGATGGCTTGGTAGCTTCCTCGATCAAATTTTTTTTAGCATGGAATACCTGCCCTCTGTCCCAGTATATAATCTAAAACCATAAGCCTACTACATCTCAATCTTCCACTCTTTCCATCACAAAACCTAAACTCTAATTCCCACGACATTGGGCCTCCATTCTATCATCTTGCATACCAAAATCCTAGATCACATAAATCGATCTCTAACCTTCATTATGGCCAATCTAAAGCCAGCCTAAAATGCTGACCAATGCCTTTTTTAATCCCCTTAGACTCTTCCCAATTCCATTAAAAAAACGTTACACCTTATCGGCCACCATCCTATTCCCTAAGAAAAGTGCAAACCAACAACACCTAAGGATTTTAATACCAACCAAACACAGTTTACCTCCATCACTTTCATACTGAAAAAAAAAACTGTCGGTAGGTCGAGTTTAATTGTCATGAATCTCGGTTGGTTCTTAAATTCATGGAAAGACTTGATATTAAGTTCTCTTTGATGAGCATGTTTGCTTTGAGTCAACCCCACTAACTGTATGAATTAATAGGCTTACTACCATGAGATCTTATCAATTAGTGACTAGATCCAAAGAAACACCCAGAGGAGGGTTGGTGATGTAGGACCAAAAACGGGACTTTCAACTCAAGAGTATGGAGAATGCACATAACCAAAATTACTAATTCAAATGTGAGAAAAGCCTAAAGATTGGTATTATAGATTTGATGAAGAGGCTTATCAACGTAGTGACTCTCTGAGACCCATGGATGAATTAGGAATAATAATATTTAGACTTATGCCCCTGACCTTATATCCCTTGTCATTTGGTTTGACAGAATTTGTATTTGAATTAAGGCCCGTAGGAATTATGTTGCTTTGGTCCTCCAAAGGGCATTTCAATAAATTATTTCTTGGGAGAATAGTATAATCTTCTCGATAAGAGATCTATTAGACCCTTGGAACAAGTTTTGGGTTTAGTTTTACATCATTGTGCTTTCAAAGCACTGAAATAGTTATGATATTGATACTCAGGAGTTATCAATGGTAATACAGAATTCAATATAGCATTTTATCTTAGTTAAACTAATTTGGATTATTAATCTCCTCAAAATGGTTTTCAATGAATTTTCATGAATATCGATGCATTGATGCAATTTATGTACTGTTTTTATGAAAATGCAATCTGATAATGAGCATTTACAGTCTTTTACACACTACAAATATTTTGATGCATCACCGACTTTATGAAGCAACTTTAAATACCTAACACATTAGAATGCTTCCTCAAGCAGCTTGTATAAGCCCTTCTTGTCAATGACCTTCATGTTGAAGCCAACAGCAATTTCCTTTGTTTTTAAAAACTTTTTAAAGAATTTCTAATTTTTTTCTCCTCCAAAAAAAAAACATAAATGAGATGCATGCTATAATTTGGCACATTTGTTCCATACTTTTCTAGTGGAACCCTAGCTATAAACAAGAGTGCAAGTATTAAATGAACTCAAACTTACCTTAGAACAACTTAAGTTACATGAAGTTCAACTCAAACCTTCGGTTTGATGAACGGAGAAGTTTAATCAGTTCAGCTATTTGGCTTAGTGAACCAAGAAACTTAATTTGACAGTAAGTTTATTGAATCAGCAGAATTTATTAGCTTAAATGTTAGAGATTGTTGATCTAATATGGTACCATGGCCCTAGGCTTATGAGTCAAGTGCAAAGGGCGTCAATTTAGCCTTTGGGCTTGTTCAACTACCAAGAAGATGCTAATTAAATTGTCATATATTTCAACTATGCCACTGGCACCTTATGCCAAGCAATGCTCAATAACAACGGTACAATAGTGTACATAACAAGTAATTTAATATTCCTAAAATTCCATTTATCAATGGTTAGGCTAAAAAGGTAAATTGGGCAACCTAGCACAATGTTGAGTGAAATGCCCCTTCACACAGAAATACAAGAAATGTAATTTCTTCATTGATTCAAGAGAAAAGTGTCAAAATAGTCCCCTGACCAATTACATGAAGCTATTTTAGTCCCAAAGTATATAAAAATGACAAATTAGTTCCCAAAATACCCATAGAGAACAACTTTCGCCCCCATTAAAAAACTTTGGTGAAAAAATTGACTTTTTTATAGACTCAGAGAATAAAATAACCAGGGACCATTTTGACATTTTTCTCGTTGATTCGACATCCACCAAAAATATACTATGAAAAATGCATTGTGATTGTGAATTGTTCCAATAATCCAAGCGATCAGATGACAGCTCACTAATGTATTAGCCAAGCAAATAAATAACAATAGTTCTCCAAGTAGGGATAGAAGTTGAATTAAATTATTTAAATTTAAGAACAAGTATTTAGATGAAAGTCCATACCACAGTCAAATGCAATGACGGGCTTCAATTTGATTTCTTCTTCCTGAGAGGAGAATCAAATAGTCATGGTTAGCTTATTTTGAGGGATGGATATGGTACAAATTAATAAAGGAAGATTTACTTACATACCACTCAATTCATATGTTTTTACTTATCTGAGAACTAAACTTTAATTTTTACATATGCAATCTTGCCTATGGATGAAAAGATGTAATTCACTTTTTAAAGTTAAAATAGTGGTATTTTTTATGTCATATAAAAGATTTGGGTGGTAGAAATGTAAAAAAGTAAAGTTTGCGTGTTAGATATGTAAATACATAGGAATTCGGTAGTATGTACGAAAAGCCCTTTTAATAAATGATATCAAGAAAGGGAATATGCAAATAATGATAAGCGATGTAACTCGTAATCTTTCGCACACCTTTAACCTGAGCTTTTTGGCTCGTTTAGTGACATGGCGCTGAGAAAGCTCTCTGCTTTGTTGGTCCTGTTCATCAACACGAGATTAACCACCACACACATAATGACAGTTTGAATTAACTTTGAAAGAGCAAGTTGGTTAAACATCATGCGTTATGTAGAATAAAAATTCATCACTGTTACAATTAGAAAATAATAAAATATTATTCATTTAGTTTTTCTACAATTATTAATTATAATATTTGTAAGCATATTTTTAGAATATTATTATTGCTATAAATAACAATCCTGCCCAATAATAAAAAAGGATCACTGAACTACTGGAGGATCTTCAACTGTAAGCATGAAGTTAAGAAAACAAAATAAAATAAAAACTGTCTAAGGGAAGTTTAGCTAAGTATGTTAACCCATGAACCTAAAAGGCTCATTAGTAATTTAATGATAACAAATTAACTTTAATGACAAATAATGCTTTCCTATGTTATTATGCAGGACAATCAAAATGGGGTAACCATAAGCATCAAGAAGCTTGAAGAACAAACACATGGATGATCAAATCAAGATAAGGACACTTGCATACATACCACCCCATTCCTATATATTTTCATATTTAACACCTAAATTTTACCTTTTACAATTATACCACTCCAAACTTCCATATCACATAAAAAAGTACATTATTTTAACATTCAAAAAGTGAAATACACCTTTTCATGCATAGGTAAGGTGACATACAAATAAAAATTGAAGTTTGGATGTTAGATATGTAAATACATAAAAATTAAGTGGTACGCATGTAAATTTTTCATCAAGCTAATTCCAAGTTTCAATTCCAAGCTTAAATTAGCTGCGTGCATAAAGAAAGAATAAACAAAAAGGCATAACTTAAGATAGTTGTTTTGATAACTTCTTAACTGTATTTATATTTCAACTTTTTGAGTTCGTCAAAAAAGGGTTAATTAATGAAAATCAATCATTTTAACATAATTTGAATAATTTATAAGAGGCATAGAGTTGTCTATTTCTATGGAACAATTGTTATATATTGTCAACATGACCAGTTTCTTCCAAAAAAACCTTCTTTTTAAAAGCATTTGATATTTTAAACCAAAATTTTTTAACATGCCTCAAAATATTATTTATTACACTGGCATAAGTAAATGAACATAATAGCCAATTCTAGAACTCTAGCAGCATATGGCATATTCTAGGAACTTGTGGCAATATGCAATTGTATTTTAGCATGTTAACGTTAATACTTTGCTCCATATGTACTCATCATCCAAATTAAAAATGAATGGATTAGAAAAAAAGAATTGATACTTCTACCATTTCATTGAGCCCTCTTCTCCACTCTCTTCTTCCCTATTGCACATTGCGTATCTATTTCTGCTATTTTAAGGGGCCAAACTTCAAATCAAGTCAAATCCACAAATCAAACACGGATCAAGAGTCTGCTTGACAAACATTAGGCTTTCCTCGTTCTCAAGATGTAAGTCCCACTATTGGACCCTCCAATGCGATAAACCCTAACCAAATTAACAACATAAAGCCAAAAATCAAACCCCCACCAAAAGAAAAAAAATAATCAATTGGGTAATCTTACCTGGTAAGGTAATGCTGTATCGCCCACCTTTTGGCGTTTATCTACTTAAAAATTGCAAGTAACACTTGTGGGATTTCCATTGGAGATATAAACGTCAACACAATCACTCTAGGTATATTCAAAATAAATAAAATCATTAAATTATGCCTAGTGCTTAATTCTTTCAATGAATGTAAGCAACCCAAGATAAAATTGAACTAATTTGAATGTTAACAAAGCCCATCAATCTGAAACGGACACGGGACTTTCAGGACTGACAAAGGGGCGAAATGAGTGGCTCTTAGGCGCGGGTTCCCAAAGAGAGTTGAATCATGTGGTTCAACAATTGTTGGTCCAGCAAGAAGGCTAGACTGGCCGCCCAGCCTATCGAGCAGAAATGGACGCTCCTACCGCTCCTTTTTTCTCCAATTTTGATTCTTGCCTTCTTGGTCACCGCCAACCCCTCCCTTCATTTTCTAGTGATTGTCCATGGGGGGAACTGAAAGCATTGTGCAGACCCTACAAAATGACCCGATTATTTCATAAGCTCTGATCGTCGATGAGTCATCACCCACTTGGAACCGTGAAAGACTCGCTCTTTTCCCTGTAGCTTAGCGAGAGTTTTGAAGGCAATGGGACGATTATTATTGGGCATCCCCCAAGATATAATTAACCAAAGAGATATGTTCCTTTGAGAGTGTTCTTGAATCAAGATAAATAAAAATTTGGTTCTCTGGTTACTTGGGTAGATTATTTAGATATTCTTTCGTGGATATCTGTTTCAAGTTATCACGATCCAATTCTATTTGGACTTACACCCTTGACCTATCGCACGATGTTTACTTCACATAAGCTTTTAAGGTTCTTTATAAATTTGTCTGCCTAGTCCCCATCGTAATCCCCTCTTTTATGATCCCTCATCTTCTCTGAATCGTTCCTACAAATTAAATAAGAGAATTCTTTGAAAAGGGAATTTTAAGGCGATGATTAGACAGGTTGACGACTCCAACTTTACAAAAAGAACTAAAACATGCCTGAAGAGTCATGTCTTTTACCGAGCAGGGCGTCGTGGAGGAAGTCAACAACGAGAAGAAAGCTGAGGAACAAGGTGAGATGTATCACTTGCCACCATATGAAGGAGCACTTTTGGTTTGACGGATCCTACGGGTTGAGGATACGAGGGATCTACAGTGGCTTCCCAACAATATCTTCTACACTCGTTGCATGGTGAACGGAAAAGTATGCAGTCTCATCATCGATGGGAAAGCATAAAGAATGTAGCATCCACGCAGATAGAGAAAAGTTGGGTCTCGTGACTCAGAAACATTCACAGTCGTATTCACTGACGTGGCTAAAGAAGGAGAATCTGGACACCATAGACCGGAGATGTTTGGTGAAGTTTTCGATTGGGAGTGGGCTGAGAATCAGGTGTGGAGTGACATGGTCCCCATAGATGACTGTCACATTTTGTTCGGGAGACTGTGTTAATTCAACCGTAGAAGTCTGCACGATGGATTCAGAAGCACCTACGCCTTCACCAAATAGGAAAGTACATCATCCTACTTCCTTCGATAGAGCCCGAGAACACAGGAGTCCTTGCCAGTCGAGCCGCATCTGTGGGACTAGTTTTGGTGAGGACATTGATGATAGATTTGAGAAACCAGTTACAGACAAGCACAAGCACGACAGAGAACAATTCAAAATATCAGGGTCGATACCTTGCCACCAGTGTCACCCCCATATAGAAAGGTTCATGTTACTCTCACTTCAGATCTGATTAACTCGATCATGGATGACCTTGGAAATATTCAGTGACGGAGGAGAGACATGCAATTCAGTTCAGTAGTGGACTCACAAAAAATTGGACATATGTGGATGTTTGCTCGCAAGTGCATGAAGATCCTCAGGGGTTTAGGGGTACGGTGCAGTCGTCGATGGAATCCAGGAGCTTCGGGGACTGCAGTTAAAGAGGCCTCAACATCTGGAAAGATAATAGCTCCATCAGCAACAACAACAAACAAGTAGAAGCTTCAACAAATTAGGTTGAAGCTCGCTCAACACCAAGAGTAGCGTAAGGCTCTCAACACTGATGTGGGGCTTGCAGACAACGACAAAGGGGTAAAACGCAGGGCTTTTAGGCGCGGGACCCCAAAAAGAGATGAACCGTGAGGTTCAGCATCATGTCGGTCCAGTTCGGAGGCTGGGCCAACCGCCCAAACTATCGAACAAAAATGGGCGCTTCTGGCGCTCCTACCACTCCTTTTTTTCTCTTATTCTAATTCTTGCCTTCTTGGTCACCGCTAAACCCTACTTCCTTTTATGGTTGTCACCCAAGGGGACCTTCCCTTCCTAGTTTATATATTAGCTATCATACATGTGTGTGTGTTAAATTAGGGTTATATTTTTGTGAGTTTCATTTGAGAGTTATGTATAAGTCTTTAGTTTCCCTTGCGAGCGCTATATCCGACGACAGGTGGTGTTCCAATTGTATCCTAGTCTGAGGTGGTGATGTATACTCTCGGATTTCCTCCTTAACTCTTCCCCCTTCTCTCCACTTAGTCAGCCACCCCTATCCCTTCCTGTTGGTCGGCCGCCCCTTTTCTTGCAGCAAAACCCTGTTGTCTTGCAGCCGCCACCATGCACTCTCCCAACCTTTTAAATCCTACCGCCAGCCAATCTCCTCCCCTCCTTTGCCTTGTCGCATGTTTTCTTGCAACTCTACCTGTTGTCCAGCCTCTAACAGTCACCCCGCCACTGTCTTGTAGTGCCATAACCTCGTTGCACCTTTCCAAGCTGCTACCGCCACTTCCCCTTCCCCTTATAACTGCTACCTCCACTATGACAACCCTCTCACAGGCGCCATTGCAGCCTTTGGATTTTCTTATCCGGCCCTAACTGAAGATTAGTATCTATTGCAATTTCTTTTAGTTGAGTCTTGTTTGTAACACTAATCAATTGCTTAATAAAGCTTGTTTCCATTCCCACTGTGCATGAATTAGTACTACGGTTAGGGCCTGCGGCCAAAAAGTTAAAAAGGATACATGACAAACCTGGCGCACAGAAAAAAGTCGGAAAGCACGATCCTGCCCTGCGGATAGAATGCACCTCCCTTTTCTGTAAAACCTGAAAGTTCACAAAGCCATTAATCTTATATTTTATAACTTAATACACAAAAAAATGTGAGAAGTTACAAGTTATTAATATCTAAATTAATAAAATTTCCGGATGAATTTCAAATCGTCCAATAATTAAAGAACATGTTGTTGCAAATCATTTTACACCATTATTTGTTATTGTCCAGAAAATGGAGTAATAAATCTGATTTATTAGTGGATTAAATAAAATCATAAATCAATATAAGCACAATGAAAACCCTAATTATAATTGATCTGATAGCTTATTCTGATGAATCATCTTGTTAGTGCTTCACTTTAAAGAGTATAAAATGATACCGGGATTCAACCCAACACCAATGGAAAGCAAATATGATATCAGAGTTAATCCAAAAGCCCACGATGTAATAATACTTTAATTGCTGAAATTAAAAGGGTTACAAACACAACACTTAAAAACAAGAAACATGACAACACGACACCACTCTAGAGAGTAGGTCGGCGAGGTGGTGCTGCGGTTGTGGGAAGCGAAGGCAAGGGAGTGGTGTAAGATGGATCGACAGCAAGCAAGTGGTTGGAGGGATAGGTTGAGCGGGTGGATGGAGGGGAGCTTGTGGATGAAGTTGGTGACTGCCGGGTAGGGCTGCAGTATGGAGTGCTGCAGGCAGAAGGGAGGGTTGCATCTTGTTGGTGGGCTGAGGTAGGAACTGTTGTAGGGAGGCTGGCAGTGGAAAAGGAAGGTGCAGTTGGGAGGGCCTGGCAACGGGAGGTTAAGAGGAGTTATGGCAGCCTGCAAGAAGGCTCTACTAAGGAGTTACCAAGGGATGACGGGTTGGAGTGGTGGCTGAAAGCAGGTCGCTGTTGGAAAAGATAACCGGAGGAATGCCAGAGCAGCAGCAGCTAACAGGAAAAGGAAAGATACACACCACCGAAGAACGAGTTATAATCGGAGCACCTTCTCGTCGTCAGATACATCCCTAGAAGAGAAAAGAGAGATGCCGACAGTTGTTCTGACAGAAAACTCTGCAAAATCTGAACCCTAAAAAAAAGAACGAATTTATAACAGGGGATAACTAGGAGGGGGAAATCCCTTCCCTTGGGGCATCCTAACCCAAGTAGGGTCAGACCCCTTAAGTC